CTCCGTTAGAGGGTGAGGGCCGTAGTGTCGCGGCCACTTCCTGACTGATGTTGACCCCATTCGGGAACGAGTCTTACTGAGCTAGCCAACCTTGATCTTGATCAAGTTCTCACTTCAATCTGTCCTTCGTAGCCCTCCATCCCGTTCCTGCCTCTTTCCCCCTCGCTACTCCCTGCCCCCTCCTCCCCCACATTACACTTCGCCAACAAATGTATATTAAACACCATTTGAGGAGAAACAAAACGAATTTTATTCGAGCGATGTCTATTTTGCTGCAGTCTGCACTTGTGTTTCTTCCTTCTTCAAAGGTGCCGTGGGCCCTTCACCAGCTTTCTCGGCTTCTATTTCGCCTTCTTCCCAGTCGTACGGGAATTCCTGTTTGATGATTCTTTTCTCTGCTTCGTTGGGACAAGTAATGAACCACTTACCTTTTCACCACTCATCAATATGGCGTTACCGATGAGGCCGTAGATTTCATTGTAATTTGGCTCATCAGCGTACGAAAGCTTATCCACTTCCTTCATAATGTCTACGAATTCCACGGGTAATCCTGAAACTTTTCAAATTGAGCAATTAATCATGTGTTTTAAGGAGCTAGCTACTTTAGTTTCCTCTCACCGCCTAAAAATTCGCGTAGTCCTAGCCCTGTTCTAACCGATTTCTGGTAGTCGAAAATGTCCTTGGGATTCTGAAAAGTTGCCTTTTCACAGGGTTTAATTGTTGAGGTTACGTGGTATGGAGCGGGAAAGCGTAAGGATTCAGGGAGTTATGCTCGCTTCATTTGTTGACCCAAATCATTCTATTCTCCATTTGAATCCTATCTTTCACGTGACAACTCCGCCCACATTGATGCCCACCCAACCAACAGCAGTTGACCTCCCTTCCGTTGACGAACTCAATCCAGGCTTTTTCTGCCGATCTTCCGAATTCTTGGAAACACTTAAAGCAACAGTCCAGGCAGGGTTTCAACTACTTGGTCATTAGGCGGTCAAAACATGCCCCAGCCCAACTAAAGTTTATAGGAAATGTCTTTAAGTTCAAAACCTACCTCTAAAATGCGCTGGAAGGGGTCGAAGTCCTCTTGGAGGGGGCGGATCACCCATAAAGAGGCGGATCGCCCAACATACGCTGTGCAGAGCGCTTGCTCGACTAGCGGTCGTTGCGGGACCGCCGCGCTGTATGAGGTCGATTCCATAAGAACGCAATTGAAGCGCTTCAATTTCGATTGCTGGCAAATAGTTATGTATTTGCAAGCATGCATGGCTATTTGCCAGCAGTCAACTGGAGCGCATGTACTACGGGCAGGTTCGGACAACTCGTCCAACACACATCTCCCTAAACGGCAGGGGGAGTCCCTGTCTAAGCCCCTGCCCGACGTTTTTTTCTACTTTTTCTTTCTCCATTGACCAACTTCTCACCTGCAACGTCATTATAGGTGGTCCTTACCCGCGAATTCGTTCCTGGATTGTTGCTTTAAGCACGCAAACTCCGCACCACATTCGTTTTTGCCCGCCCCAATAGCAGTTTGGTTCCACTCCTTTACCCACCTCTCGTTCCGCCTATTTTCCGGCCTCTAAGAGCGTACTCTTCTCTTCTTTTCTTCCCTCCTTTAGGAGTCCTTGGGCGTCTGCAGTATTGAGGGCAGGGTTGAAATATCGGTCGAGGAAATCCTCGACAGGCCTGTCGGGCTGGGTCATGGGGGTCGTACTCTTGGGGTCAGTAACAGCAGTGGTATCGTGGTGCAGATAGGTAAGAGGGTATAGCGCAGCAGAAAATGAAAATATCTGAAAAAAACATGATATTAAATTTTCTTTGCAGGTTCAGTCGCTCCATTCCTCCACCTTCATGAGAAGGGCGTATTTGAAGGCAGTACAAAGAATGAAAGTGCATCCCCGCAAAGAAGAGTGCCACATGTGCGCACGCGCTGCAAAGGCACCTCCTCCGCCTATCACTCGCTCCTTCTCCCTTAATACCTCGCTGAGAATGACGCTGTTGTTAGGGACCCTGTCGGAAAAACGACAACCGTGAAGAAAAAGCGCGCTGGGCAAATGAAGTTGTTTTTTAGGTTACAGGAATAGCACAACACACTATGTCTACTACAATACAGTTTCGTTCGAAGGTCCCCATCATATAACACCTTTCAATCGATTCTGCAACTGTGAGTGGAGGAGGGATGCATGGCTTATACCAATACCAAATCGGATGATGACGATTGCTCCTATTCTTATTGTTTGCGTTCAAAGATATTGTTCTAGACACATTCCGAGTGTTGCCAACGAGTCACACTTGCAATGGTGAATGAGGGAGCGGATTTCCAGGTGGCCGGATCCGACCTCGATAGATCCTCGACGCAATTATCTCTTCAACCAAAAAGCTGTAGAAGAAAACTAAACAGACCATCAGGAAGCGCAAACCTTCCGCTTTCCAAAACTATCTTCCCTTTTTCAGGATCTTACAATATAAGAGATATATTGCTCTTGAAGTGGCAAAAACTCGCGTGAAAATTTGGGCCTCCTCGACATTTACTCGACGAAATTTGACAGACCCTATCTTTCTGCAAGGAAGGCTTCCAGAGCAATTTCGATGCTTGTTGGAAACGCGAAATCCAGCTCTATCTAACTCTACCTCAAGCTGCTTCAAAGGTTGTGAAATGGAGGAATGCAACCTTTTCATCGAGGGTGTAGATTCGGACGTTTTTTTTTGAAATTTCGGCAAATCTGACCCAGTGACAATCGCGCCGCAGCTGCCGTTGAATCGGCCTTTGATACACTCGGCTGTTTTGATATACTCAAGCAAGAATCAAGATTGAATCGCAACCCCGTGTCTTCAGGATTTCTGTGCGTTTCTGAACGAACCTCGCCTTGAGGTCACACAAAGTTAATGCCTCTTTCCTCGAGTCGATATTTCAGTATGTACACAAAAGTATGCAGCGATGGAAGACGTGCATAGATGACAAGATGAAGCGTCCTTAGCATTATTTTGCAGAATTTTTTTTGATTTGTTTTGCAGGATTTATTTTAATTGAATTAATTTGCTCTGTTAGAGGGGGTCGTGCCAGGATCTCGATTTCGGGGGGGGGGTCGTACCTCTGCGACCACGTACTCGACACGATTTTCACCCTGGTGAGGAGGGTTGGAAGTGGAGGAGGGCATCGACGAACTTCGTATCTGAGCCTATTATACTGCATTCCTTAGATGAGACGCTGGGCCGATCACTACGTACATTTGTTTAGCCTTAGCGTTCTTATTCTTACAGAAAATAGCTGCAACCAATGCTGTTTCTTCCATTTTCACCAAATCTTGCGATCGCTATGCGTTTTTCGTAAGAAGTGCCTTCCAAATTATAACCGATTTTGCTATGAAATGTCGGCCTTGCCTGTCCCTACTAATCGTACACTGGATGGTCAGAGCTTTGCTCTGGATGTTGATCAAAGATACGCCGGTCGCATTTGCTCTTTGATTAGATATAAATGTGTGTGCCTCCCCTCCCTCCGACATTTTTTCAATAAGGCCTTATCAGAGGAAGTTTTGTTCTTAGGGCTTTTGTGTAGCGGTCGTGCATGCTGACCTGAATATCCTTGATGTCATGTCATAAGCGGGTTGCTCTAAGCCCACACAGCGCAGTGAAACGACTGGTACAGAAAGCTTACAGTCTCTTTTTTAGATCTACATTCTCAAATCATTTTACAATGGTAATAGCAGCTATAACTAACTCTCTGATGAACCCATGGAACGGCTCCTTTGACGAGTTCTACGATCACATACAACCACATCTCCAAGTCGTCCATTCGGCTCAGTTCCCGATTCAGGTAGGCATTCCTTGGAGCGTATCTGTAGAATTCGCGCGCTCGTGAGTTTCTTATGATTGCTTTGCGTTGCTAATCGATAAGTGAAAGATCTTTTAGTTTTTTGGCTGCAAACTATAGTTGCAAGCACAAGGAGGCCCATCCAAAATTTCAATTTCAGAAGAATTCCAATAATTCATAGATTCAAGTACATACTCCAAAAATTAAAAAAAAATTCCAAAAAAATCCATTACTGTGAGATCTTTAGTGTAATCAACAGCTGATCCAGGATGAGTATGAGCCTTGGTTAGTTTAGCAAAATGATGGCTTGTCTACCTTGCTTTCCCTATGTATTTCGATGGTTTTTGTCGTGGGGGTTTGTGTGTGCCGTCAGCTTCTCGGTACTGATGAGCTAGTCCAAAGTCGAGAATGTACACCTAGACATTGACAGTTGAAGGTTTTGAAAGCTTGATGGATTAGAATGGACGCCATCGCAATATACGGGGCATCCTCTAAGACCAAACATAAAAGGGTACACAATTTTGAAGAATGCGAACGGTTGGACTATCATATCTCTCCCTTCCCGCCTAAAGCTTTAATCCCGTCCGCCAACAAAAGGACATTTTGCACGAAGTTTCAAAAGGGCTTCTACCTAGCCACAATGCCCCCGTAGGTTTGCCAGAATGAGCGCCCTTAGAATTCTTTCTTAGCTTGACATTTCGTAGGTCTTTTGCCGGTTCGCCTGATCACTGTCCTGATTGGCCCAAACGTCGTAACGGGGTTCACGCGAACGATGAACGAAGCCACCTTAATAAAAAAGAAAATCGCAGGAATTTCGTCCAATTCGTGGGATTGAAATACGGTGACTTAAAACCGAGTTAGTGGAACGGGCACGCCGACTTTTGAATACGGTAGCGCGAAATGTATCTACGTAGGGAGTGTGGTGCCCACTTCTGTAACTTGGCGGGACACTATGGAAGTAACTCACACATTCCAGCTTTTCACGCTTGTCATAAATTTGCCCTCAACTCCAGCCCCTGATTGGGCTACATGCCTCCTTAGTCACAAATTCACTCGTGACCGGGCAGCAGTCCCCACGTACACTCATTGTGCCTACCGTATACCAGAAAATTGGCGTGTACGCATTACACCGAAAATTCGGGTGCTAACTTAGTTGGGGGGGCACGCGGCGGCGCGGCAGTCTGCTCACCTGGGCTCTCTCGAGCGAGACAGTGTAAACTCGAACATTCCAGCTATTTTCACGCGACCTTGTGCAGCTAGTGTCGGTGTTGGGTTGGTGTAATGGTCGGGGTGACTCGCCAACCCGGCGCCACGTCGCCTGTAGCCTGCCGCAATCTCCTCCTGGCCTGACGGATTTCCGAACATGCTCAGCGCGAGCAGATTGCGCGCAGCCGTGCGCGCGTGCCCCTTAGACTAAGGTTTAGGCACCGCAAAATTCTATCCAGTTCATACGAGGTGTTTTGATTTTTACGAACATTAGAGCTGAGAGGCGTACTTTGATGCAGTTCTTTCCGGCTGCTTTTCAATACCACGCATGCCAGCACTCAAGCCACAAGCCAGTGAGAGTTTTCCGTCTTTGCAAGCTTTACGAATGAACTGGAAATGTGAGCATTGGTATTCAAAACAATAAAACTTTAGGGTAACTGAGGGAGAGGGACCGCCCTTGAAGCTACCGAAAACTATTTAGGCTGTTTGTTGGAGCTCGGGACTTTTACCATCTGCCCGAAAAATCCTCATGGCGACGGATATTCAAGGACAAAGATGACGCAAGGGATTTGCGAAAGCACGCAAACCAGCGACCTTTAAAGTTTCGTCCCGGGCAAAGCCGTGATGTGCAATGTAGTTGAAATCAGTGGCGGTACCGCGATCGAATACCCTAAAGCAGTTTAGGAATTACTAGGGATTCAATGTTTCTAAGCATCCACATTACAATCTATCGAGACTGAGTGGTATTGTAGACGAAGGACCGTACGAACAGATCAATGAATAAATACTGGACATGGATTACGCCAATTTTCATTGTTTTGCAGATGCCCTGGGGCTTTACGATATCTCTTCCTTGAGTTATCAAGGGAGGAAAGAAATAGCTCGATTACCGTTCCTGACTCTACGCGCCGAGCTTTGAACGCTTTGGAGGCCATGCAGCCCATGTGTGGGCCGCAAGAATAAGGGACGCTAATCGCTTTTGCCTTCTTCACCTTGTTCAGAAACTCTTACTCTGACAAATACCATAATTCTCCCTTGCAACTCTCTCAATCTTCTCCTTCTCTCCCTAGCGTTAGTCCCGCGCAGTCGCAGGGTCCGCTGTCTTTGTCAGTCGTCGCCACTTGGCTCTGTCCAGGGCATCTCCTGCCGTGGCCGTGACCTTCACCTAGGTCCTTCTTGATCACATCCTTCCACCTCTTCTTCGGGGCTCCTCGCGGTCGCTTGCCGCTACTTTTCGCGACGTCACTGCTTCGTCTTATCGGATGGTCCTTGTGGCCTCCTTAGCAGCATGCCCATACCATCGCAGACGCTGTTCCCTTAGCTGGACAGGGGCAGTCTGCATGACCGCTCTGACATCCTCGTTTCTAACCTGTCCAGCCGCGTCCAGCCGCAGGCCCATCTCAGCATCATGCGGAGTGAAGCTGCCTTTCGTGATTCTTGTTCAGGGGCCAGCACTCGCTGCCGTAGAGCATCGCAGGCCTTACCACTGTTCGGTACACCTTCCCTTTGAGCGTTCTAGAGCACCCTTCCCTTTTCTTAGCCTGGTCCATCTAAGTCGGCGGATAACTCGCTGAATCAGGGGACCCTTCCTTGGCCGTGTATTGCTGCATACGGTCCCTGGAGTGTATATAAAATCTCGCCACAGTCTTAGCTGATCTCCCTTAACCTGGCGATCGTTGGTCAATGGCCGAATAACAGTAGGGCAGTCTAGCAACTCGCTCGCAACTTCCGCATCTAATCTTCCCCTCCCCATACATGGCATCTGTGGGTGGCAACGATTTAAGGGGATTTCTGTTTGGCTAGTAAGCAATTATTCCAACTCTTAATCAAGTCCAGTCGAGCAATTAGCCACGTATTGGATGGAGGCCCAACTGAACTTGAAAAGCTGAATCTACTGCCAGGTGCGGGTTTTTGGATCATTTGCCAGTTGTACAGCGTATTGAAGTGTTCAGTGAGAACGTACTTGCAGAAGTGACGGCTTTTCACCTTTTCCATGTGAAGGAGGATGAACAGTTCAAATTTAAGCATCGGTACGGCCGCTTGTTTTTGTTCTAACTGAAAGTTGCCAGTTTTCCAGTACGAAACGAGAGGCTAGAGGACAAATTTTCATCGAGTTAGGAACTGAGTGTTTTTAGGCTCTTTTGAAACACGCTATGGATTATTATTACTAGTGGTATAAGTGTTATTATAGAGTTTCAAATTCCTTTTTATGTTGAGAATGAAATCAATCACTCCGGCCACAGAGCTACCTAGGTTGAGATGCGGTACATATTAGAAGAATTTGAATGCTAGGGTACCTCTAGAAAGAGATTTCTTGAAGATTTTTCGTTATGCACTCGAGGAAGTTCGCTACTCAATGAGTAAGGTAGAGGAATTCGTCTCACATTGAAAGATAAGTGATGCCATTATGCTCCCGTCCCTATCCCTCCATTATATAAACCACTGACTTAATTTGTCAGTATTTATGGCGGTGTATAGACTGATGTGTCACTCGGCATGTCGATCGGTGCAGTTGTTCAGTTGTTCAGTTGTTACTTCGGTCCGTACGTGAGTCGGTATGTTTGTCGCTATGTCTGTGGGGCGTTCATGCCCTTTGGGGGAGACATTCAAATAGGACCGATGAAAGGTAACACTAGGACTAAGCCCAGGAAAGGGCGAAAAGTTAGGGAGAACACAACTACTTCGAATCCCCCAAGAATCCCTCCCCTCCGTGAGGCTGTGAATCCCACTCACTTGAATGTCCCTCT